GAAGTGGAACTGTTAACAAACACTTCCCATTAATAAACATAGCAAAACCTCCTTCTATCTTTTTAAGGCTACATAAAGCAGATATGAAATATATATATGGTGGTTGTATGAATTCAAAATTTTGAACAGATATTTCTCTCCTCAAGCTTTTAAACGATCCTTCTGCACCAGTTTACTTTAGGACAAAGCTCATATTTTAAGTCAGAGTGGAAAAAGTGAGATTTTCTTTTTGTGTTTTGTTTTCTTTAAATTTTGAAGAAAGATATGCACAACCTTTCTGCATTTCACATCCCACTGCATGTTGAGAAAACAGAGTTTAAAACGTCCTCATCCTCCGAGCAGTGGACAGCTGCTCCATGTTCAGCTGTCCACCTCTCTGAGGGCAGGTGGTTTAAATGACAGCAAAACCTGACCTTGACCACAAGACCACCATCATCATCATCATCATCATCATCATCATCATCATCATCATCATCATCATCATTGCCATAGTCATGGTCATAATGTAGTTTATGAATTAAATGTTAATCCTCTTACTGGATTAACATCTTAACATCCACACCAGCCATCTGCTGGCTGGTCCATCACTTTGCACACAGCTGGATGCTCGTCTTTCCTCCTGTAGCCTCACTTATACCTTCTCCCTCAGGTCTCCATGACAACCCCTGGGTGTGTGACTGCCGGCTCTACGACCTAGTCCAGTTCCAGAAGTCCCCAACTCTGTCGGTGGCATTCATCGACACCAGGCTCCGGTGTTCCGCGCCGGAGAGTGTGTCGGGGGTTCTGTTCAGTGATGCAGAGCTGAGGCGCTGTCAGCTCCCACGTATCCACACCGCCGTGGCGCGAGTCCGGAGCGCTGTTGGAAACAATGTGCTGCTCCGTTGTGGGACCATTGGAGTCCCCATCCCGGACCTGACATGGCGCAGGACCGATGGACGAGCCCTCAATGGAACAGGTGAGTCAGCACCTCTGTGGATGTGGGGGGCTTTCATTGTTTAGAGCTTGAGATAAGATGCTTTTGTCTGCACTATAGTGCTGCTGTTAATTACACACAGAGCAGTGGAGATAGTCAGGTTGTAAGTCTGACTGACAGCTGCAGCCACAACAGTGAGTTCTGCAACACTAATCACCTGCAGCTGTCTATTTACATGTTTACTAAAGCGGATATTTCTCAGATGCCACAAAATATTTCAATGTTTTCACATTGTCTTTTCTTGTCATCATGTAACAACCGTATTTTCTCTTTTCTGCTGCAACAGTCCAGCAGGAAACGTCAAAGGAAGGAATCACCTGGTCCATCCTCAGTGTCCCAGCTGTGTCCTATCATGATTCAGGGAAATACATCTGCAAGGCCACTAACTACGCAGGGAATGCAGAGGCTGTAATTTCTCTCATTGTCTCTAACTCCCCAAAGCCAGAGGGGAATCAAACCAGTAGTGAGAAGAAGGCAAAAGTCAAGAAATCCAACCAAATAGGCAAAGCTGCCTACCAGGAGAAACTGGTGGCCAGATACTTGGTTCCAACCTCCACCCCTTCATCCCTGCCTGCCCTGGATCCTGGCCTCCCACCTGGGCTTGGTTCTGAGTCTGATCTAGCCAGTTACAGCCTGGCTGACAGAGCCACACCGGGGCCTGCCACCTCCTCCAACCCAGATGCATTGCTGGATCTGGAGAAGACAAACCTAAGCAACTTGGCTGCCAACACCTCGTCGCTGCAGCAAGACCCGGACAGGGTGGTCCGCTCAGTGAAGGTAGTGGGGGACACAGACAATACAATTTCTCTGAACTGGAGAGCCCCTAAAGCCAAGAACACTACAGCATTTAGTGTGTTGTATGCTGTGTTTGGAGAGAGGGACATGAGGAAGATCAATGTTGGGGCGGGACAGAACCGTGTAACCATCGAAGGGCTGGTGCCCAGGACCAAGTACATTGCCTGTGTGTGTGTGAGGGGGCTGATCCCAAAGAAGGAGCAGTGTGTGATATTTTCCACTGATGAAGCAGCCAGTGCCACTGGCACCCAGAGGCTGATTAACGTGATTGTGATCACAGTGGCCTGTATCATCGCAGTCCCACTCACCGTCATCGTGTGCTGTGGGGCGCTGAAGAGACGCATTCAGAAGTACTGGGGAAAGAAGTCCAAGGACATCCAAGATTCATATGTGACCTTTGAAACGCTGTCACCTGGTACAAAGGCCAAAGGGCTTGAGGGCGAGTATTTGAACAGACTGAACCCAGAGGAGTCCAACAGGCTGCTGTCGGCCCGCTCCAGCCTGGACTCTGAGGCCACGGCTAAGATAGAGGGACAGCCCAACGAGTACTTCTGCTGACATCATGCTCCAGCTCCGGCTCCTGCTCCACGCCATCTCCCTCGCACTCAACCACATCCACGTCCCAGCCAACACACTAACATGCATTCACATACCCTTCACCACCCCCACCTGCATGTCCATCCACATCCATACCCCCATCACTACCAGTACTCTCACTCTCAGCGACATCCTGACGTCAGTCCCCCTCTCACCCACTCCCATACGCCCACACGTTGGGATTCCCCCCCACCTGTTCCTCCGCGCTGGATCACGCCACCAACTCCGCCGCCGCAGAGAGCCAACTTCTATCAAAGGACCTTTGCACGCTGCACTATCATGGAAATATCAGTTTAGAGAATATTTAACATTTTAATTCACTTGTATTTTAACCAAACATTGAGGGAAACTCACTGGGTTGTCACACATGTATCCACACAGTTAAAATTATAAGACATTTGACACAGCATCCAAACACACTCATGCTTTAATGTCTAAAAGAATGTTTTTTTTATTACTAAGCCTGTAAGAGGAAACAAGTCAAAAAATGAAATTATTATTGTAATTAATATTTAATTTCACTCACAGGGCCCAGCAAAGAAACCTCTGCAATCTCATCTGATTAAAAGGGAACTCAGCGGTATACATTCCATTGTTTATATCATATATGTACGTGTATGATTTGTAAATATGTTACCTGGATAATGTACACACACATATACAGTTATGTCTGTGCCTCTGTATAATCTGTCATACGTTCTCAGAGAAGATATACACACAGGCATGGTTCAACAACTCTGGTGAATGAAGAAAAAAGCTGGAGCTGGAGAAAGAAGTACATGAAGGTCTGAACTATGACACCGTGTAAATAGCGTGGACATGATGCAAAAATGAAATGTTAAAAAAAATATTTCTACTCCTGGCAATGAGACACATACTGAAATATCTCTATGTACCTGTTTTGTGCCACCTAGAGGCATCATTACCCCCAATGAGATGTAGATCTGTTCATTTCAATTATATAATTTGAATATAGATAAATAAACTTTTATATATACACAACCAGTTAGCATTGCTGTGTGTTTTTACATGTGTCCTTTCAGCTCAACATATTGATCCCACTGATCACAAGGTCTCCATTTGGAAAACCTTGCCAACATAGGTATCATTCTCTCTCTCTCTCTCTCTCTCTCTCTCTCTCTCTCATACCAGAGCTGCAGGATCCAGATCTGACACTATTCAACAATTATTATTTATGATTATGATTATTTTAATTATTATTATTAATAATAAAAATAAGAATAGTAACCATAATTTGAAGGTCACACAACTGGTTTCTCTCTCTCTCTCTCTCTCTCTCTCTCTCACTCTCACTCTCTCTTTTACAGCCACCTCTCTTTTCTCCCCCATTTTATCTATTTCTCTCTAATTTTGTGAGGTCTCCACCTCACAAAGTACCTTGAGAAAATGTAGGTTGTGATTTGGTGATATACAAATGAAATTGAATTGAATATAAATTCTTTATAAAGGGTGTAAAATGTATTTATTGTCAATAATTTAGCAATAAAACACAATTGATTAGTATGAAAAATAACAGTTGAACTAATCAGAAAGTGGTGCCAATTTGAACTGAGTGGGTCAGACGCACTAACTCCTTCAAGTGTCAATCCTTCGTGTCTTTCCTAAGAATTAGAAGCTCTTGCTCAGTGCGCTTCACGGTGCGTCAGGGATTAAGTTTAATAGGCTTCTCTCGTCTCCCGCACTCGACATGTCTTGAGCACGAATGTAGCCCACAACTTCTGGGATTTTTCGCGGACTATGGACATAATTTGTTACCTGCTAGTTATAGTTGTGTTGAACATCCAAGCGCATGGAAGCGTCTCTCAATGTTTACACGGGTGCAGCTGTGTGGAGGACCGTCATGGGAGGTGAGACCTGATTTCACGAAGTTCACTGTGAGGCAGAGGTATTTGTATCCTGTTTAACTGTGTCACTGGGTGACTGTGGGTGAAGGAGAATATGTTTTTACTGAAAATTACTGAGTGAATATTTTCTCAATCAAGTCGAGCACTTTTTGTTTCTAACATGTGATCCTAATGACAGCCAACACAGGCGATAAAGCTGTGTGTTCATGAGGCACAGAAAGCAAATGCTCACTTATCCTATTTCCCTTAAATCACATAGGTCGCTCATATGCATGGAGGAGAACGCGTTTGGGGCCATACCAGGGAACCTCTCAAATGATATGACCAAAATACGTATAGAAAAATCTCACTTCACTGAAATACCCAGAGGGGCTTTCTCCAGTGCGCCCTCCTTGGAGAACCTGTGGTTGAACTTCAATGACATCACACTCATTAACTCAAAGGGCCTGGAGGGTTTGGGGAATTTGACCGAGCTGCGCCTGCAGGGGAACAAGCTGCGTTCAGTACCATGGACAGCGTTCGAGGACACGCCGGCTCTCAAGATCCTGGACCTGAAGCACAACCAGCTGGACGTGCTGCCGGAGCATGCGTTAAAATTTCTGCCAGGTCTGACTTACTTAGATTTGTCCTTCAATCGACTTACGGTCATATCAAAGGAGGTCTTTCAAAATTGGCCCCTCTACCAGAAGCTGCAGGGCATGGGCGACCGGGAGGCGACCGCCCTCGGGGTGAATGTCGTCCTGGCGCTGCACGACAACGCCTGGCTCTGCGACTGCCGCCTGAAGGGCTTCGTGGAGTTCATCAGGTCCCCACCGCCCCCGATTATACTGATGAACTCCTACTTGACCTGCTCAGGGCCGGACTTTAGGGCGGGCAAGTTCTTCCACGAGGTCGAGCTGCAGGCGTGTGTGAAGCCGGCGGTGAGCAGCCCAGCCTCCAACATCAGCCTGCCACAGGGCGCGAACCTTACCCTGCGCTGCCTCGCCAAAGCCCGGCCCGACCCCTCGGTGTGGTGGACATATGGTCTGAAGATAATCAGAGGATTTCATGGTAAGAGTGTGACACTCGCAGCGGGTCATCCAGGCACCGGCTCCACTGATATCTTGCGGTAAATTAGATACTTAAGCACACATTTTAATTGCAGAGACCTCGAACCTCTCCTTAAGGCTAGGAGGGCTAAATCTGGATATTGGCCCACCACTGATTCCCTCAAGCTGCACAACACCATCACTGTTGATTAAGTGTTGGAGATTATAGTGCACTGTAGCCTACCTAGTGTCAGCAGTGTTGGGATACTGAGTAATTAAGTAAACATCTGCGTCATTAGACTTAACCTTGTGCTTACTGTAGATCAAGCCTGCAAGTTACCAGTCCATCATAAAGTGATAGAAAGCAGGTTGCTGCAGCCAACACTGTCCACACTCTACAGATAGTAACACAGCTTCTACTGCTACTGCATGTAATCAATATTATCCTAGTTAGATACCAGAGGTATGCAAACAACCGGCTACCTTTACTTTACTCAAGCTAAAGCAATCTAAAGTATATCTTCAATACTAGCAAATAAAAGGTAAACTAGTAAAGTTACTGACTTTAAACTAGTAAATAAATGGTTCATTAATCATTCTATCGTCGAACTCTCAATCATGACAATTTGCGAAAATTGTCAATTGAACTATAATTTTACAACAATTTTGTTCAACACAATTAATAAAAATGAATTTAACAATTAACAAAAGCTAATGCTGAAAAATATCTTTTAACATGCAGCCTCACAATTCACATCTATCTTGACGCTTTTGATGTCCAGTATATGTTTGTGTTATTGTGGCTCATGTGTATGTATATAGGTCATGTTATTGTTCAGCCTTCTACTTTAATAGAGACAAGTGGCCTAAAGCATGGGTTCCCTTTTCTACCTCAGATTATTCTAATGTAGAAAAAAGGACCTATTTGATTACATCATTTATGCTTATCTTCTTTCTTTCTGTGAAAACAGATTGAGTTCTATTCTTTAATCTTGCATGCTCTTTAAACCACACTGGATCCCCTTTTATTTCCTCCCAGAGTCTCAGGAAAGAGTGGATGAGGACACCATCAGATCCCTCCTGGTGATCCCCTCCCTCCATGCTGCTGACCGTGGTGTGTACACCTGCACCGCTGTCAACTTCATAGGGAACTCCTCTGTCAGTGTCCTCCTGGATGTTCTCTCTCCTGACAGCTCCCACCCGTCAAACCTCCCCGGCGTCCCGGCTGCACCCGGGGTTGGGGATGAAAACGTCTACATTGACATCCGCATCGCCAAACAGACAGTACGTGGCATATCCATCGAGTGGTACGCTGCCTTGGACCGTCCCGCAGAAACCTGGTTCACCATCCACTTTGGACGCGCAGATGATAATAAAAAAGAAATGATCTACATCGGCCCCGGGATCCATTCGTACTCTGTCTCTGATTTGATGCCTGCCTCCAAATATGAAATCTGTGTGACCCTCAAGAATAAGACGCCGCGTCCAGGCCAGTGCATTGTGTTTGTAACAGGAAGTGACATCACTGAAATGGAACAGAGGGAGAAACTGATTCATATAATAGTCATAGTTTTAGCCATGGTGCTGGCCGTGCCTATAGGCATGTACGCGTGTACCACTGAAACTAGGTTCTCCTGTCTGGAGGATGTCATGAAGTTCTGGAAGAGCCAGCAGAGAGAGGGCGGCTCCCACGAGATGGAGCGGGAGAGGCAGGGCACCTTCGACAGCCTGCAGGCCGCCAGCGACGAGGGCCTGGTTAAGAAGGAATCCAGTGAAGACAGGAAGGTGAGGAGGAGGTCAGATGACAGAATGATTAAGAGCAAAGCAGACCACAGCAGACTCACAGCTGAACTGTATTAAATTACTGTTTGGTAATTCAGCAAGAAAACATGAAACTGACCTTGTAACAGGCCGATGAATCAGTCTGTATCAATTATCTTAGTAAAAGAGATCAGAATAAATAAATCTGCTGCATCGTGCTGACTTTGATACTGATTTACTAGAATATTAAAAAGAATGACTTTCATGTCTGCCTTGGTTTTAATCTCATCTCTTCCTCTGTTCTAGGCCGGGGAGGGTGTTGCAATGATGTGAATGATGACCATTATGTCGAGAGTGTAATTCAAGAATTACAGTGTAGAGAAAAGTGCCGCAGTTTGCTTCTGTCTGAAATACGACAAGTTGGACGTTTTTGTCATGAGATATTTAAATGTAAGTGATCACACATTTTTAATTGTTGCTCTATATGAAGCCTTTGTGATTGATCTGAGCTCAAAATGACTTTCTTGCTAACCTGAATGGTTTGATTAAGGCTCATCTCACTTACACTGTCAGTTAGTTTGTAAGATTTTTTACTGTAAAATTAAATGCGGAAAGAAAGACATTCTCTTTAACTTGATAATGAATATATCGAATATTTAAGCATTTTGTAATTGGAAACATTTCTTTCATTGTTAATTTCATTTTAAATTTAGTTTTTTGTGTATATGTTTGTGTATGAGGTCATACCATGTGTTGTGGTGACATAGTTCCTTTGCATAGCTGTTTTAATAACAGCATTATTAGTAACAAAACCTCAAACAAAGTGACAAAACCTTAAATACTGTACTTGTCCATTTTATATTGTTAAGTTGCCAGCACGCACGCTTCCACCAAATTTAGATTAAATTGATTTATTATTTAAATCATGTGTGTTTGTGTTATATCGTTTAGGGCTAATTACTGATGCTTTACCTTGAAAAAAAACTTGAAGGGGCACTAAGTATGTAACTAAAATGGATGTCAGTAGAGTGCCTTTCTCCACCAAGGCCCAGAGTTCACGTTAAATTCAACCGAGTTGCAACAAATTGCACACACTCATGAATATCAGTCCCCTAAAGGTGCCTTATGTTTTTAATCAAGATCCATTATTATTGTCTAAGGAATCAGTGAAAACTAAGAAAACAACCACTCTCCCAATGTTAAAGAAAGTGAAAAAACATCCAAAATTTGCTTAGCGATTTTCACATCCGCACCAAAATTCATTGGGTTCTTCCCTGATCCACACCACGTCCTTCCAGCAAGTTTTGTGGGAATTTGTTTGGTATTTTCTGCATAATCCCACAAACTAAATAAAGGTGATGAAAACGTAACCTCTTGGCAGAGGTGGCTCTGGAGGAAAAAAATTTAAATCTGAAATATGCAGAATCATCAGAATCATTATTCGGCCTTGAGTTTGACACCTAAAAGGTTTAAACAGAAAGTCATCGATATAAACTGGATGTGTGGAAAGAAGTGTGCATAGAGTTTAATTGCAGAAATTGAAGGACCCTGCATTTCTGAAGCTTGATCCATCAGAGTCAAAGTATCTCGTCCTCTGTTAGTTTCATTTAGACCATTTAAGCAATAGGCTTCCTCTATACTCCTTAATTTTATGCAAGTGGACCTCATATATATCTCTTCATTTGATTATGCACAAGGTTACAGGACAAAACCTGTTCACATAATGTTTCTGCATCAAAGTGATCAGTGACACTAGTTCACATGCAGGAACTTATGAGGGCTGAAAATGATCGACAGTTCATAGTTTATGTCGACGCAGGACTGTGTTTCACTTTCACAGTTAGTTACACTGAACTGTAAAGTTTCATTAACGTGTTTAATCCTCTTTGCATCACTGCACATATACGTCACCGTCCTCTACACACACACACCACACAGCAGCCATGCGTCACACATGATCTGTGCCGACCGACCCAGACAGATGGCACATCGGATATGCCTCGGCCAATGGCATTGTTCATTTGACATAATACCCAAACACTGGCATCCTCTCCAATATCCCTTCCTGCCGTCACTTTATGATCAGATCACACAAACCAACCCCCCACCCGTCCTGTCCTCCATCCCCATGTGTTGTCTGCTATGACGCAAAGAGATCACTTCATCTCTGCCCGGACCCGCTTGCATTGACTTAAGATGAGGGTTTTAAACGACTGGCTGAGATTGGCAGCTCTCATTTCTGGAGCGCAGGAGCACATCTGCTTTCTTGCCTGTTCAGATGTGTTTATATGATTTGCGTGTGAAGGGATTGATGTTGCTTTTTGTTGTAATCCTTATCTGCTGTGTATGCAACATGACAATGTTAGTTCTTTAAACACTCCGTCTCAGCTATTTAAGCACAGAGCACATGAATTGTATCTTTATTCAGCCATATCCTGTTTTTCCTCCTCGCACCTTAATGTTGCATATACTTATTTTTTGTATTTAATCCAGGACAGACGTTTCATTTATTTTACCTTTCAGTTCCTCCATTAGTTCAAATGCACGCCAGGATTTTTGAACTCATGCATGTGCATTCTTCTCTCATTCTAAAGCATCAATGCACTTTGCAACTTTCAACTCTGTAATCCTCTATCAAATAGCCCAGTAATCCTGGCTGCCTCTTACATGGCATAATGCATGATCATTTGGGCAGCTCTTCATATTCCCTCATTCCACCTCAGAGCATTAACAGCTTGTCGTCACAAAACTTCTTTGTGTGTTTGACATTTCGGACCTAAAATCTGGGTTTGGTTTCTTAAAGATCCTTGGGGACTGCACTGTGCGTGAAAAAGCAGCACATGTCACATTTGTGGGAAAGCATTTGTACGTATAATCTGATTTAAATTCATGGGGCAGATTTTAATTTGTCAAATAAAATCCACTGTGTGTCATCATGACCATGTGAAAGTTTGCTGCCAGTCGCACACATCTTGTCTGTCCAAACTAGATCAGGGCAGATGGATTGTTGATTTTTCGCCAACGATGCAATATTGTACAAAGATGAACAAGTTGGTCCTTGGATTAGAGAGGGTAATCTGCAAATTTAATGTTTTATGTAACTTTGAAAAAAGTGTGCATGTCTGGCTGGTGTCTACACAAATACCCAGTGAGTGGTTCAGTGTAACTTAGTAATTGGTAGCACTCACACTGACATCAGAGCAAAGGAGGGTAAAGGGGCTTGTATCAGGATAATACATATTTGCAGAAAATTTGCTGAGGTTGAATTTAGAGCAAAAGCAAACAGAATAGGGTTGTGTGAAATTTACATATTCTGCTTGCTCTACTTGAATATAACATGTCTTAACACGAGTTACACCAACTTCTCTCCTCTATTGTGTAAATGCAGATGAACAACAATTAGACCAAAAAACCATTGACACTAAAACCTACCTCAAGTTTGTCTCTCTCCTGTGGTCCAGGCAGCTTTTGCTTTCTCTCCAGAAGAGGGCAGTTCAGTACATTTGCAGACTCATTAAGGAGGTGTTATTCTTAAGGTGTTTGTCTCGTAGGGCCTCCAAGGCAACAGACTATTAACCTTAGTGACCTGGATTCAGGATGTTGTGCTCGTCCACAGGTCAGTGCCTCACCAGGTTTCAAATACCAGACCAATCTACTGACTCAGTTATATGTGTGAAAAGAAATTAGTGTGTAACAGAATAAATGGTCTGCTCATTATTGTCAATAATCCATCTGCATAATAAACCACGATTCAAATTTGGAAATGGAAAGAATCCATTGATATATGGACAATTTGCTTTCTAAGACTTCACTACATTTATGAGGTGAATATTGTTCTGTGTACTTCAATATATATATTCCTTTACAGATTTAGCTACAGCTCTGGAAAATCATGAGACCAGCCTAGATCCTGTATACCAGCCATTTAACAGAAATGTTGTCAGTAGTTTAAATGATGGAAAAAAAAACTGTTCAATTTATTTTAACATGTAGCTATAGTTTGACCAGATAAACTGATAATCTTGCAGTTTTTTTCTAGAGCTATACATTTCAGATTAAAGATAAAGTGATCAGTTTGTAAAAAATGGTGCACTGGGATATATTAAACTACCTAAAACAGTATAAAGCAGCTAAATCTGCTTCAATTCAACCATCTACAACATTAAAATACTGCTTTTGTTAATGCATTGGTATGGTGTATTTATACTGTTATATTGAAACATACAGTGACTAATTCATATTCTAGTGATAGCTTTAGCCATGGTCCCCATGGTTTTGTAGCAAAAACCTTTTTACTTTTTCATTCACAGTGTGGTGATACTATGTGAGTAAAAAAAACGTCTTCCACTTTATAATTACAAATCATGTACTTTAATTGGTGGTGATTTCAATACAATTGTTGACAGCAAGTGTTTTTTGATAACTGAACACTTTTTTGACTGAGTGAAACAGATACATCACCACATACACAACTGTAAACAAACTGCTCTTTAAACACTATTTGGTGCTTTGAACCTGCGCAGTGGGATTAAAAGTCTTCCTAACGTGATCACTTTGGTCCCCTTCCCTCCGGCTGATCTCTTTAGTCAGTTCAAGTGTCATGAAATCTCTTGTAAGGAGCTTGGTCGGATCCCAAATAAACAGTCTCAGTTGTGGAAATCTAAATGACTTCATTCCAGACAAGGGATCTTTCCTGACGAACTTTGTGTTTCAACAAAGGGTTTAAAAAGGTTTGGATTTATCTGTTGTAAAATGACAAACAAACTTCAACCAGGAGTTAAATTGAAAGCATGAGTACAGTGTTTTTTTCCCATTATACAGTATGAAAATAACATCATTAGTATACAAGAATTTTGCCGTTAGCTGTTTTTAGTGTATTTAAACTCTGAAAAACACACACGCACACACACTTGTACACACACACCCACACACGCACACGTGCACACACACACAAAGCACAATTGAAGATTGAGTTCAGTCTCGACTTTGACAAAACAATTTCATCTCAAGATACATTTACTGGCTGTTCTGGAGCTTTTGATCATTAACTTAGTGTCCATTCAACTGTCAGAAATGGGGACATTTTCATTTCTAAATTC